CTCCGTAAATGTTGTTTGTCAGCCAATAGCTATGACTCCATGTTTTTTCAGCACTTACTTTCTTTTTCTCCCACCCTCCATGGAAATACTTTTGCTTAGAGAAAAGGATCATCCTACCTTCTTCCTTATCCACCTCCCCTGGACACACTAGTGTTTCCTGTCATTTGGTCCCGGTGGAATATGCAAATAATGGAGCTGGTCTATCAATGCTGCTGTCTCTGCCTGGTGACACAGGTAAATACTTAAGCAACATGCTGTGTTTTAGAGATGAGATAACTGACATGCTGCAGCAACAGCACCCTTTTTCAGATTGTTCATCCAGATTCACATAAGACATACTTCTGGGCAGGCAAAAAATGCAAACTGAGAAACTGTCCTTTTGTCAAAGGTCTACTTGGCATCTGAACCCTTGGACATGCAGCCCTTGATCATGCAACCTGTAGCTCAAGACTAAAAGCAGAACAGGAGATTTGGGAAGATGGATGTAAAGATGGCATAGGGCTGCCTCACACTCTTTTTGCTTCTTGGCTGCCGTGTACACACCTACTTCTCAAGCATGGTTTAGAGCAGCCTGGTCATTATCTCACCTAATTTTGTGGCCCATGGCTCCAAAATAAGACCCTGTGATCAAAATGTCTGGAAACATGAGGTCATGACATCAAAAGGCCAGTTCTGTAGTCAAAGTATAGCTTTTAGGTGCTGTTGGATTCAAAGCTCAGCAGTAAAACAAAAGAGAAATCTGTATTTGGGGATCTCCATGGAAAGTGTTACCACTTGGTGTTCATCAGAGGTACCAAAGCAGCTGTTGATTACAAAAAAACTAAATCAAACCAAATGAAAAAAAATTATCCAGCTAGTCAATGTAAGAAGTTTCAGGAAAAATGCTTCTTTTTTACCACAGAAGTTAGTTAAATTATTTAACTGGAAATGCCATTGCTGAGCTCTGCAATAACCTGCATGTAACCATATGGACCTACAGTGGCAGCAAATGGCCAAGTCCCCCAGGAAAGGCTTTGTTATCCTTATATTGCTATATTGCTTGATTTTTTTACACCACATCTGTTCTTGCTTCGTCATTCTGCCATCTGCTGTAACAAAATACAGGCAAAGCATTTCAGAGAAAAACCCCTCCACAGTTTAAAACGCTCCAACCCAGAGCACAGTCCTTCACTTCTCACAAGATGTAGTGCTTCTTATCCTTTCCTCCTCCTCCTCCTCCTCCCTTGGCCCCACACCACATGCGTGATGAATTACATACACGTACCAAGTGTGGAGAACACAGAATCCCATTGATTTTTCCACAGCATTTCTGTTAAATGAAATGAAAGGTTATGTGCTGTACTTTGCTGTGCAAATGCATTTGTTGAAAGGTCAGAAATAACAGGTGATTATAATTAAATTTTTAATTTTGGAACTCCCAATCAGACTTATTTCCTGTTTGGTATTGTCTGCACATACATAGTGTAGAGCTGAGAGAAGTACTCTGATTGCTAAAGCATCAAAATAACAAGAGTATGAGCAGAGTGGTTTCGAGCACACACTCAGTCCAGTCAAAGTTTCTTCCTGGTGCAGCCGCACAAATCTCTTGGTAGCAGTAAACTCGCTGCACAGACTTCATTCCTGAACACATGTTCAAAGGTGATAAAATAGATGCAGATGGTTTCCCAAAACCTCAGTGGAGCATTTTTTACTGTTACTAAATGGACTGTAAAAAAAATAAGGAAAAAATTGAGAAAATACAGTTTGACACAGACAAGCAATTTCAGAATAGCATTCAGACATTTGGGAGAAAAACTAAATAAAATGTGTGTTTATAATGATCTATTGGCAAAACAACATTGACAGAGCATCTGAGCTGCCTAATGTGATTGAGTTTTAGAATACTTGAACTAGCATTGTGAGCTGAATGTTTTCCTTAATTACTTAACACACATACAAAAAAGTTGGTTAGGAACTTAGAATTCATTGTGCCATGACCGAAGTTGACAATAAAATCATCCCTGGCTACAGCAGAAACCACTTTAGGCCTTTACAAATTTATTACAGGCTTTGTTTACAAACATGTTACAAAATTATACAGCATCTTATGCGTACACAGGATTTACAAGAATGCATAACTGATGTGTGCAACTTCTCTGCTCTGGTTGGGATCTGCAGGTTTTTCTTCACTCGGGGCTTGATCCAGCTTCCGCTGGAGAAGGTGAGAATGTTTCCATTGAATTTAGTGGAAACTGGATCAGATCCAGAGGGTAACACTTCCGTTCATTGTTATACTGGGGTGGGAAAGAGGCAGTCGATCTAATAACCTTATGTAGCATGCTTCTTTCTGATATAATGTGTTTCAGATGACAGGCATTGCACTTACTCTGATAGCTTTTTTTTCTGGTCTTTTTTAAAATACTTGGTACATTGGTAAAGTTAAAAGTCAAAGACCAGTTCCTGTTAGTGGATTTATGGAAGAAAATGACAAATTGTTTTCTTTGAACCTATAAAGAATGAACCTCCTCTGATTTTCAGTGAGCAGAAATAAAGGCATTAGGACCAACTCTGATGTTGTTTATATTGATATAGAACTATATTTTCTCAACCATCTTCTATAGAATTTATCTGGATTTACCGTGATTTAAGCAAGCATGGAGGACACTGTAGAAACAAGGTATCTTTCAGGTAATGGGATATAGGGCCTGTAAGAAATAGTGATTAACCAAGCTAAGTTTTTTTTACTTACTCTTCTCATATGGAAGATAGACCTATCTGGCATACTGAAGCATGGACATCTCTAAAGTTAATGATCCATAACAGTATCTGCTCTCAATTACTCACAGCATCTGAAAATGATCTTTATTTGGGAATTCAGGAGGTATAATTAGGTTTTTAGCTTGCAAAAATTTTCAGTGGGACAGGACCCTGAAAAATATGCTTGGCCCTCCAAGCTGAAAAATTAATGAGTAGGGGTTATTTTTTTCCCTGTTGAAACTTAAACTTTCCTACCAGTAAAACTGGGAAAAGTTCTGTTGAGGAGGCTTTTTTAATGGTTGCCAAGGAAGGAGAAGGCGGGAAAAATTCTAGTCAGCTCTATCAGATACTAAGTTTCTTGCTACATTACATACTCTCCTTTCAACACTTGCATTAGCATTGAACCTCTCAAGTTATTACTGCTTGAAGCAAAGTTAGGGTTTAGTCCTGTGAGGTGATGATATTTCCTGTGAGGTAAATACTTTGGCCTCATACTGAAAATTGAAATGCTTCTCAAACTCTTTCGTTATGGCCTCCCCTGCAGAATTATACCTACACACTCCAACTGGGCTTTCAGGTCACTACTATTCCAGTGCTTGGCCTTATGAGTAACCTGTCCCGGTCTCCGGTGGTTTTATGATGTGTAATGGTCTCTGTAAGGGATTAGGGGAGACCACACGATCTGCTGCCTTTGATGACCTGTTGCAGATTTGAAGCTGGTTCTCCAGTAGTGAAAACTCTGTGAACAAAACAAGTTTGGTTTAGTGTGCTCTGACCTCATTGTCATTTGCGACGCTGAACACGCTACAACAGTGAAACCCATACTGTAAAAACCTAGGAACTTTACAGCTGTAATGCTTGTTGAATGGTTGGCATTTTTCAGGCCTAACTGTGTCTTAAGATAACATATGCAGTCCAGTCTTAATTCTGTTGATATCCGTGACAAGACTCTCATTTACTTTCATGGTAGTGGGATCTCATCCAGGGCATTATACAGCTAATGTATAATAGACCACATCTTCAAGTAGTGTAATTATTTATGTTTCCAGTGGAGCTACCTGACAATACAAAGAAGAGTCTGAGGTATATATATGCTAGTTCATTTGTCTGTCTTAAGTAACAACTCACCTGTAAAATTGAAGAACTTCATCATAACTATGGACTACTTGAATTTTAGTCATATTATGGCTCCAAAAGATATATTATTTCGTGTCCCTGTAAAAGCTACCAGGTTTGTTGAACAGTTCTACACATTTTTCCCTCTGAAAAATGGAAAATGGATTGCTGAGGAGAACAGCAGTGTCGTATGGGTGTGTGGCTTTGATATCCATGTCAGGATATCATATATTTATGTACTACAGTTTGCAAGACAAGAATCTTTTTAATGTTCAGACACCACCAGCTTTGTTTCTACTTTAAAAACTCAGACAGACAGGAATGATGCAAGAATTCAAACAGAAGATTACTGATTCACGTGAGGAGGAAGAGGCTGATCACAACAAATAGTAAATTCTGAAGAAATCGTATTTTATGTGTTATATTAATGATCCATTTGTATTGGTTCTTGGATTCAGTAAGTTTCTGCTACAAATATTTTAGATTTTTTTCATGTTTTTTCTATGACAAACTGGCAGCATTAGAAACAGTTGCGAAATAAATGTGCTTCAAACATAAATTAAAGTTGCTGGATTGTAGCAGTCATTCTGAAGTGGAAACAGAGGGAAAATGTTAATTTCCCTAGCAAAACTGGCATAATACACAGAAATTGTATTTTATGGCTACTTGATGCCTGCAATGTTGACATCATCTGCAGACTACAACGTGTATTTTGGTGCATTTTTGTTTTGGCAGTGAGGAGTCAACGCTGCATCCAATTAAATGTGAATGTATGGAGTGGGGAATATAAATATGTACACAACTCTTGACATTGATCTGATTTTTAACAAGTTTACTAAATGACAGTCACTGGCTTGACAATACTGAATGAAAAATACTGATTTTACACAGATTTTACAGTAAGGTTAAGGTATGCTGCCGACAAGCAGTGTCACAAACATAGCCTGAAAAAACACCCGGAGATGCCCACAGCAGAGGCACACACCCTTTGCTCTTGTTTATTGAGAGAGAAAGCTTATATACTGTAGATTTGCTGAAGTTTAATAAATAAGGTCAACTTATAATATATAAAACAATATAAACATTTATATGCTACATGCATATCATATAATTTAAAGTAATAATTTATATAGCCAAGAGATGCAGTTTTATGTTCTTCCTATTTTCCTTGACAATGCGCACACGCAGGAGGTGTCTATTCTTATCCATCTCCAGCCTACCAGTTTATTGTTTTCTGAAGTTAGTGCTCTAACGTAAGTTTGGGATGTCTTGCATTGGGAGTTCCAGTGCTTGTCATCGATGCCACGACAGCCATTTTTTACAGGCTTGGCTTCTTTACACCTTGTTTCATAAAAGTATTGTTTAACCGGAGAGTTGCCAGTTTTAATTTCTCCCAGCACAGTTACCTGGTGTCCTCTAATGTCGATCGCGGAGGATTTGTCCGTGACCCATAAACTTTCACTGTCACAAACAGAATATTCCCCTCGGTGGCTCTTGTGTTCCGCGTACCTTTTCCGCCGGGAGGTTCTGTTCACCACCACTGAATTTCCAATATAATCCTCCATGTGTTTCCAGCGGCGTGCTGTCACTCAAGAGGACTCGGGGAGAGTTGTAGCGTCTCTGCTGCTTTAAGAGATCTGTATCCATTGTGATAACTGGCTGGAAGTCTGATTTCACATTTTCATCTCCATCCATGTCTTGCTGTGTGTCTTTCTGCACTGTGTTCTGATAGTTTTCCTTAATATCTACCATTTGCTTAGAAAGCTTGTTTTTCAAAATGTCTGCCTGAATGAGTTTAATAATAAGAGAATTTATTGAATCTTCTGGCAAACTCCTTTGATCCATGTTGGTAGACTGGATGCCACGAAGATAAGCGAGAAATATCACATAAAACAAGATGGACATCACCTTGTTCACCTGTAAGATCTGCAAAGAAACAGAAAGTTACCATAAAACCAATTAAAAATGGAAGTTTACTAGATGCTGAAGACATGAATATTCGCATTTGTTTTTAGCGTCTTACATCTTCTGCACATTATAGGTATAGATAGACCATGTGCTACTTTTAAGACAATTTTTCATTATATTTTATAAAGAATGCAACTGCTTTCTGACTATTTTTTTGTCCAGTGTTTCATTTATATTTCATGCACTTTTCAGGATGATCTCACTTTTCCTCTTTCCGTGTATACTGGCAGATATGTCAGTTATGGCCCTTTTCTATAGAGGTAGGTAACTACTCTTGGGTTAGTATGTCCAAGTCTTGACAGCAGAGAGAGGCTATTCTACAGAGTGCTTCAATTTGAAAATTGCAAGATTATGCAGACTAGCAGATTATTTGCCAGAGTAAAACTTAGAAGTTCTGATTTTGCTACATATTGTCAATTTTTGTGTGTTGACACCTCATGGATCCCTCAAATTCCTGTTCATCAAACGCCTTAAGTTTAATTTCACCCTAAGAACATCATATACTGGGAAATAAATATTATGTTTTAATAGCTCTTTCTCTCTTTCTCTCTCTCTGATTCTATAAAGGAAAGTATTCTTGAAGAAAAAGGGTGCAGTCAAGCAGCAAAGTGGCATTTCTTAGATTTTGAACTTCAGAAAGCAGTAGTTAGACTTCTGCAATACAACTGAGAAGTTCAGATGGATCCACAGACCTTTTTGTACTGGATGTTTGCAGAGTTTGGTCCTGGGTTTTTTGTTTGATTGTTTTTAATAATGTTCTTTCATTACATTTATATGAAGTGGAACAAAACTGATTGCAGTTAAAAATATTCAAGGACAGTTGGAGGATGTCTCCTCCAGCCCCAAAACTGAAGAATCTCACTCAAAAAGATCAAAATGAAATCAAGATCAAGATTTGGAAACTGGAACTAAAGTGTACTGCTTGTCTGTATTTTGCCATGAACTGCTCTATATGGATTCTTGTAGTATCCTTGTAATTCTAGCTTCTGAGCATCTTCTAGAAGTTCATTTGTTGTTTCTGGCTGCATTTTTCTGTCATCCTCCTTGTGTAGTTGAGAACTGTGAGCATTCATCTAAGGAAGCGGTTTTTCGCTTGTGGATACCTCTATATTTTATATTTGCACTTATATTTAAATGTAATTAATTTTCAGTGTAAAATACCAAATCATGGAAGTAAACCATCCCTTCAAAGCACACTTAATGAAATTGTTGCACAAGTAGTGGATTGAAGGAGAAAATATTAAACTCATGTTAGACCACTGTCAGACTATGCGGGAAGCCCTGACTTTGGGGCTCTTTCATGTGATTCAGAACAGTCTTGAACTTGATACTCCTGCACTGCAAACCCATCCACTGCATGTCAGACCACTAGCACTCTGGGATGAAGGCACAGAGATACAGAACACAGAACAGATGGAGCTGGAAGGATCCTCAGGAAATCGTTTAGTTCAATCCCAATGCGCAAAGCAGGGTCAGCTAGAGCAGCTTACACAGCTCTCAATTTGTGCCCATTGTCTCTTGTCTTTTGTTGGGACACCTCTGAGAAGAGCCCGGCTCCATCTTTTTTAATCCCTTCAATCAGATATCTCTACACTTTGATAACATCTCCCTGAGCTCTCTTCTGCAGGCTGAACAGCCCCTCTATGTCCATTCCTGTCTTGTACTGGAAAACCCCAAACTGGAAACAGCACACCAGATGGTGCCTCACCAGTGCTGAGTTGAGAGGAAGGATTGCCTCCCTCAACCTGCTGGTGACACTCTGGGTACTTTGTGGTTTTCACAGAAGAAATTGAAGAGAAATCAGATCTCTTAAACAGAACATTTTTTACTTCTTCAAATCACTGTTTTCTATTTAAAAAGACAAAGAAAAAGAAAAAAAAAATTTTACTGGAGAATCCTCTATCCACTCTGAGCAACAGTGCTTTTAGCAACAGTGAGTCCTCACTTCATAGTTTGGAACTGCAGCAAAATCAGAGCTACACTCTGTGGATGTGTGACCTGTCCTTTTATGGACAAGAAATGTGTTTTCTCCATTCTCAGTTTGTCACAGTATGAGTTCACCTAAATCTAGACTGTTGCTTGCAGCAATGTTATGCTTTGGAAAAAAAAAAATTCTAAGATTTTCAGTTACCATACAATTACTGTCATACCTAAACAAATACTAAATTAATGTAGATGGATCTCAGAGCCGAGACTGTGCTGTATAAAAAGACCTCTTCCTGTGCGATTTCATCTTCCCACAGTAAATTATGTGCTTTTAAAAACAGTAAAAATATTATAAAACAGATGTCATTCAGCAGATTTCTTACAGCACTCAGAAGGGCTAACCCACATGCAGTATGACACATAAGTCCATAGGATGGTGAGCAAAGCTCTGACAATGCTCAGCTCAAAAGTTGAAAGCATTATTCATGCCAACATGCAGCTGCATGTAATCACTGGTCTGCTTAGTTTCAAAATTAAGTGGCATTAGCAAAATACATAAGTTGCAGCAGGTGATGAGGTGGGAAAAGTAAGACTGGAGTTCAGGCAGACTCTAATGTCATCCTGCACACAACAAAGAAGGAATAGGGACCTCAGAATTAGAACAGTTCAAATCAGCTATTTTTCTCATCCATGGAGGAATCCTGTTAATAGAAAGAAATTTCAAAAGTATTTTCCTGAACATAACGTAAAACGTCTTGTGGATTTGGTGAGAAGGATGTTAAACTACTCTGAAATTTGGCTAGTAGTTTGATTTTTTTCTTGACAAATTATTTGCTGCAAAAGTAAAAATGTTTCTGAACTAATCTTTACATTTTGCTGGAACGTCTTGGGGTGCAAAAATCTGGAAATAAAATGCAAATTCTTGGTGAGATTACAGATTCTGTGGAGGAGTTCTAAGGCAGTTCAACTAGGAGGTTCATAAGTGGGGCACTCAGAAATCATAGTAAATGACTTGAAATTGTCAGGTGCCCTGTGAAGTCCTGCAGCTCAGACTATTCCTAAGGTGCTATTCTAGCTTAGAGAAATGCACATCACTGGAAAACCACAGTTTATGGCCTTAGCTCGATTTTGAGTATAAGACAACATAAGTGTATTGCTTTGCAGGGCTGGGCAATATTGCTTCTGATAAATGACTCTTTGCCCAAAATGGAAATCTGTGCCTGTCCACATTGAGAATAATTTGCAATTTTTACTTTTTACCCCTTTTTTTTTTCTTTTTGTTAAACCAATACAAAGGAGAGAAAACTGGAAAACATAAAAATGTTTATGTTTTCATATTTTCAAAGCAAATCAATGTGATGTTTCTGGACATGCTTCAAAATTTACACAACATAATTGACAAAACAGAAAAAGTGCTTACTCAGTATAGCGAGTGAGTATAGAGTGAGTAACTTATCTACAAAGGAGACTTGCCCTCAGAGGCAAGATTTCAACAGACGTACCCTGTCTAAGAGAAGGCTGACCTGACTTGCAGACTCCTGGGGCAATGGCTTGTATGGACCTTAGCAGAGACTACTTCAGCACAAGTAGCAATAACAACTTCTTCAGCCTTTTGGGGAGTGGTATAAAAATGCTCCAGGAATTTAGTCCTTCACATGAATTTTTCTGTTACATCATTAAAAAATTAAATTTATTCATTTCAGGTAGAAAGACAGATTTTGTTCAAGTCGTGAGATGTATTTTTTGTTCTTCAAGGTTCTTCTTGAAATTTTCTGTGTAATTCCCTGGAAAGGTTCAATTCAGATGTCCTTCTGGACGGTTTGCAATCAAGTAATGATGAATGCTGCTAGACAAAATGAACATAATACTATTTACACTCCTACAGGAAGAATAAACTAGATTACTGTATTTGGGGCCTGGGTCTGCTAAATAGGCATAGGCAAGCATTTCCATGGTGACCTCAGAATAAGAGCACAGCCCAGCAGCATTCTCCCTACGTCAGCATAGGTTTAAGGAACGCTATTAGATACAAATAGAGAAGACTAACTGGTAACTGCTTCCACTTAATTTCTGCCTCATACTTGATTGTGGCTAGAGTACTGCCGCTGGTACCAGAGCTCAGTTTCTGTTTCCATGGGCTGTCAGGTCAGCTGTGACACATGGCCCAGTCAACATGATGGTGTACGACGGCTCATGGCTTAAATAGGTCTTCAGTATATCACATCCATTCAAATTATACAATCATCTTTCTGTGCAGTACCTACTGCATAACTGTTCTATAAGCCATGTGGGTGAAGAACAGTTTAGATAGTGTGAATCCAGAAGAACCAGCACTTTCTCTAGATTTGCATAAAAAAATATCCCCTGTTGACCTACCTTTTTATGGCAAACTCATAATTTGTCTGGTGACTCAGTCATTGGACGTAATGGTAGATTGCTTAGTTCACTTTGCGCCTATGCCACAAATACAGTAGGCAGTTACCTAGGGCGGGCATTAGCAGCTTGACATCATCTTGCTGCTAGACATCCACACTGTTTTCTGTCTGTCTTCTCCTGTATCACTCAATTCCTTTTCTATTGCAGCAGGGGCTGCTGACATATTCCAGAAAGTTGTTTTTTCCTGAGCTGCTGATCAGCTTTGGAGAAGCTCTGTTTTTCTGCTGTGCCCTTCTAGGTGTTGGGACACATTTTTGATGCTTTGAGCTCTTGCTAAATGTATTTAAAAAGGGGACAGAGGGTGCATCACTCTCAACTCATCCTTTAAATGTGCGATGTGCAATTCTGAAAAGCACTGGACATTTAGGCCACAAGACCTATTAGTGGTAGTGCCCCCTTATTCAGAAATACTACCCCAGCTCTCAAAAGGGATTGCAAACACGGCAACTGAAACAAAGAAGATCCTTAAAGGAACAAGGAGCAGTACTGAGTGACAATTAGGCATTATGAATGGTCCAGAGGGTCTGTGGGAGCGCGCATCACAGCATGTCAGAAAAACCAGCATATCCTAGTAATATAGACCCAGCTAT